ATCACCCATAGGCAAGGGTTGGATGGGAAAGATCACCCATAGGCAAGGGTTGGATGGGAAAGGTCACCCATAGGCAAGGGTTGGATGGGAAAGATCACCCATAGGCAAGGGTTGGATGGGAAAGATCACCCATAGGCAAGGGTTGGATGGGAAAGATCACCCATAGGCAAGGGTTGGATGGGAAAGATCACCCATAGACAAGGGTTGGATGGGAAAGATCACCCATAGGCAAGGGTTGGATGGGAAAGATCACCCATAGACAAGGGTTGGATGGGAAAGATCACCCATAGGCAAGGGTTGGATGGGAAAGATCACCCATAGGCAAGGGTTGGATGGGAAAGATCACCCATAGGCAAGGGTTGGATGGGAAAGATCACCCATAGGCAAGGGTTGGATGGGAAAGATCACCCATAGGCAAGGGTTGGATGGGAAAGATCACCCATAGGCAAGGGATGGATGGGAAAGATCACCCATAGGCAAGGGTTGGATGGGAAAGGTCACCCATGGGCATGGGTTTGATGGGAAAGATCATTTGATCAATTTGATTGCTTTTACAAAATTTCACAAAAGACACATTTAAAGTTGTATGACTGCATTTATAAAATCGAGTAATTTTCACTGACTCGCTAAATTCACAAAACAATTTTCTTTTGTGAAATTATTAAAAGCGTTTCTATCAAACAAATATCTGAAATGCCGTCTTAATAGTGTATACAATGGGAAATATTAATGCAATTAATTAATTTGTTTTTTTTGTAGCTGCTGTCATTGTTGGCGTGGTGGTAGCGGTGGTTATCATCCTTGTCCTTATTGGTGCATTTTTCCTAACACGGCGATTCAAATGTATCAAATCGGGAGGTACAACTATCATCTTGGACAGCAAGACTAATTCTACTATAATCTAGTTGCATATCAAATCGTCGCTGGAACAAATTTGTTTTAAGTCAGTGAACCAAATTATTTACAATAAAATTGGAGTGATTAATTTCAGTAATTAGAAAAACTGTGATTAAAAAAAATCAAGATTAGAAATAATTAAAGAAATATTATATTTTCTCTTTTAAAAGTGCACCTCCAATAGAAGTGCACATAAACAAAATGTTTAGTTTCAGGATTTAAAACATGACATATTATGACTATGCTCTTTGTTTAAGTGTATGCGCTACTAATAGAGCAAATATGGTACATGATTCCTGTGTATCACGTTTGGAATGATAGCAATAATTTGATAGAGCACCGTTACAACTAATATTCTATTTACAGAAATGTCATGTTAGCTGTTAATTTACAAACCTGGGACCACATGTTATTGCGTTTTTAGAGACCTGTTCTTTTCAAAACAAGGACACATGAATTGCGGTCACTCTACTGGTGTGTGATTATAATTGTTTATGCACCAATACTTTTCAGGTGTTAAGTGAGAACAAAACACTGAAAGATGTAATATTTGATTGACCTTTTGATCTCATGCGTTATTAGAAGTGGAGGAATTGATTTATAAAAAATGTACAAATTGATTTATAAAAATAATATAAAAAAAAATTTAAAATTCTGTTTGATCAAATTAATGTAGCACTACGCAACATACATGTATATTTCTACAATTACATGTACTATATAAAAACTGAAAAAACAACTTACAATAACTCCAAGTTATGCAATAGACACCCCATTTAAACCATGACATGTCAGTATTTGAAATCCCGCTTTGCTTACCAAATAACATGGCAATATGTAAACATTTTTGTCAGTGTAACATTTTGATACATTTATCCTAAATACTTGAATTTTCAGTTTAATTTTGTTCAGCTCCACTGTTGACTTTGTCTAACAGAGTTCATCGTATGAGGGATTGTCTTTCGTCGTCTGTGTCAACGTTTTACGTTTTTGGTTTCTTCTTGAAAACTACAATTCTTATTGCTTTGATATTTGATGTATATATGTACTTTGGGCAGACCTCTCTTAGATTTGTACATTTTGTGATGATATCTTTAATTCTCGAATTTTGATGAATATTTTTGCTATTTTTTTTGTAAAAAGTGATATTTTCGACTTGTTAAGAATCACAAGTTCGATTGCTTTGATATTATACATATAGATACTACAAGTAGACTTCTCTCAGATTTGTTCATTTTCTAATGATATCTTCAGTTCTTTAATTGAAACATGCATAGCTAACAGTGAGACTATCTCACCGGGGAGGCTGCTTAATATTTTTCACTAATTTTGTGGATTTGTATCAATTTTCTGATTTAAAAGTTTTTTTATGATGAATGTTTTTGAAAATTGATCATTAATAATGTGTATAACTATCACATAACTAACTTGTTAATGTTGTATAATTGTGGTATCCAGGTTTGATAATTATCACTATTGTAAATCATATACACATGCATTGTTTAACACTATTAATTCATTTCATTTCATATACCGGGAACTATAATAATATCATATACATATTTATATATATTATTATTATTGTAATTTTATATATATATATATATATATATATATATATATTGAAAATATTTGACCAATTATAGGTAAATACTGTCAGTGGTTGAAAATATTTACTGGATTTAATTATAATGGATTTGATTTTGCATGAATACAATTCTAGTTTTTCGTTTTCACTGTGTTCAATGAATAATAGTTCATTTAGCTACTGGTATAAGTGGAAATAAAACCCAGCAAATATTGATCTCATATTATTGCACTGTGCCTCTAAATGTGACCTCTAAATGTCACACATCCTGGGTACTGTGAGTATTTATCAATAATTTTTTTTATTTTCAAAAATTAAACCTAGCTATATTGAAGCCTTATACTTACAATATGTCTTGTATACAATCCCTAAAAGTATTATTTCTGGGTTTAAAAATTCACTATCAATAAGAATTTATCAATAAAACAAACAAACAATTGAGATAAACATTGAAAGTTATTGGTCAACAATACCTCCAGAAAGTGCCATGATGTGTGACCAGTATTTTGTATTCTCTGCACTTACCACATCAACTGCTGAAAGTCTCTACGGATAGTCTCCAATTACTGATATATATTGTTAAAAAATAAATGTCTCCGGCAAGCAATGTGTTAAACCATGGAGGTAAAAAAAGATCTTTTATTACCTCCATGGTTAAACCAAACAGATTCTCAGACTTATTTCTTTCTTTTTTTGTAAAAAAAAAAATGGGAAAACTCTACTACACTGACTTTTGTTTCCATGTGTTTATTTATATAAATATACTGATAGGAATTATAAACCTAACTGGCTTATTCAAATTAAAACAAGATGATTTGATTGGTAGCACCTGCCTCCATTCCGGGAAGCACTAAGATAGAAATTAGCACAGTCTACGTCAAGCTCATATAATATGCAAATTCTATTCGAGTTTATAAATATACAGGTTTACAAATCATGTATAACGTACATACCTTTGCCGCCTTCAGTGTACTAAAAATCTTAAATTAAAAAAACCTTTTCTATTTTTCATTTTTGACAACTGTGCTGTTTTCTGTCTTGTAAAACATTAACTTGCTTTTTAACTTATTTGTTAGTATCTCCAAATATTACTATGACAGCTACAAGTTTTTAACTCGCTGAAGTCAGATTTTTCACTTTTCTAAAAAATAAGCTTGCATAATATTTTCCAGATTTTTTCAACAATTTTGATCAAAATCAAGATTATTACAAATGAGAAATTTGTTCCAAAAGTTTTAGAATTAGTGTGTAAAATTGTTGCACTGCTGGAAAATGAGTGTGGAAGTTGTAAAAATTAACATATATTTTTAATTTTAACTATATAAATTTGCAAACTTTTAGGACTTTGCTAGTAAATTAACTTTTGTTTTAGTTACAACAGTTATCAAATAAATGCATTTAATAATGGATTTGGTGTTCTGAGATCATTCCTGTAACTTTTTTGGGATTATCATAATTATTATTATCAGGCCAAAAAAAACAAAAAACTGTTGCCCTGAAGTTGGAAAATTGAAAAATTGGGTCGGCCGGTCAAATTTTTTTTTCTTTTAAACTCGTGAAAACTAAAGGTATCGTAAATAGCTGAGGTATACGGGAACAAAAAACGCGACCTGATATTTCATATTTTTCGGTCGGTTGCTGAGGGCAACAGAACAATTTTTTTTTTATTGGCCTTATTATGATCTAAATCGTATTTGCTCTATTTGAAGCACATTTAAACCAAACGTGTATACTTATTTTGGTAAGCACATATGCTCCTAATAGAACAAATACGGTAAGCACACAGATGTCTCTATAGGTTAAAGGCCCAATTCACTTGCCCCGGGCAACTTGCATAGCCTATGACGCATCCTGTTTCAGCGGTCCAACATCACATGACTTTGATTGACAGTAGTTAATTATTCAAGATTAGTAGCGCATCCCTTTCCCCGGTTCGTGTTTTTGACTTTTATCTGCCAAAATCTGAGCTCGTACAGTATTTATTGTCATAAATACTACACACAGTCACTGCTGTGATATTCATAGTCGCATGCATCCACCTTGGCACGACATAATCGACCTGTAAAACGCGTTTTTACCGGAGCTTGGCTTGGCTGTTTACTACAGCGTGACAAGCAAGGAAATACTCCCCATTGTTTAGGAGCATATTTATAGTATACCTGGGCCTTTAATTGCAGTTTTAGAACATTTATGTTTACACAAATATTCAAACACAGGCTTGTGTGATGACTGTAGCATATTTGATGCCCTGAACAGAAATGTATTTTGGGGAATCCACTTGAAACGTTCGTAAACAGCAAACAGGGTGGAACCGAAAATGTAGTCATTGATCAGACACGCTGAAAATCTTTGAGAAATGAATGTTGCATGTATAGTTGCCACATAAATTCAGACAATGAAATTTTTTATATAAATAGTTACTTGAGCCCAGTAAAGCTATATGAAGTATTGGAATCAACATATTTTAATATGCACAAACAATTATGTGAGATTATTTTGTGAAAGATGACAAAATGCATCAAAACTCATCTTCAAAACATGCTTATTTTTTACAAATCTTCGCTTAGCTTAAAAAAAAATGTATTATTTTAAAAATGACGCTACTGCTGATGATTTTTTACTTTGATTTTTAGCTCCGCTGTCGACTTTGTCGAGCGGAGCTTATCATATGAGTGATTGTCCGTCGTCGTCGTCCGTCGTCCGTGTCAATGTTTTACTTTTTCGACTTCTACTTGAAAACTACAAGCCTGAATGCTTTGATACTTGGTGTATATGTACCTTGGGTAGACCTCTCTTAGGTTTGTTCATTTCATGTTGATATCTTCAATTCTCTAATTTTGGTGAATATTTTTGTCATTTTTGGTAAAAAGTGATATTTTCGACTTCTTGTTAAAAACCGCAATTGATTTGATACTACATATATAGGTACTACATGTGGACCTCTCACAGATTTGTTCATTTCGTGATGATATCTTCAATTCTCTAATTTTGGTGAATATTTTTGTCATTTTTGGTAAAAAGTGATATTTTCGACGACTTGTTAAAAACCAATAGTTCAATTGCTTTGATATTACATATATA